GCAAGTGCAGTCTCACAGCTTTCTTTAATAGACTTCAAACTTGATTGCAGAATAATTAACACAGACACAGAGAAGGTGCATGCTGCATATCTTTTATAGACAGTGCAACAGCTGAAAATGGAGTCAAATGAGATAGAGGAGAAAAACAGTAATACAGCTGCTGTCAGAACACACAGAGGAAAAGGCTGCAGACAACAGAAGGCCCACTGAACATCTGAATAGTCAAAAATTGAGATATTTGTAATTCTTATAAATGAACAACTTTACACGCTGACTCAGAAGTGATCAGTGGAAGTTCAAGTTCAGCCTGATTTCTGCTTCTGTGCCACACCGCAGTGGACGACTCCACCATTGGAGGGTTGAAGGGTCAATGTTGTTCTGCAATACTCCACCCAAACACTTGTCTGCAGACCAATGTCCATGCTCATCTTTTCCCAGTTACCAGTCACCTTCCTTGTTAAAGGAGAACGTTGTTGTTCATGCAGGAAATACAGTGAGAATAAAAGATGTCAAAGAAGATGAACTACATGAAATTTTCTTTCACCGAATTCACTAAATTGTCTGACATCTGTACAAAGATCACCTTAAAAACAAACTGAGATAACAAAAATGGAGATTCAAGTGTCAAGGAGAATAACAGCAGGATAAGAACATTGACCTTTAGAGCCTCTAAACCCGATCAAAATAACAGAACTGTTTGACTTAGTGATGGTTTAATGAGGCTGATAGAAGTGAGCGTGTGGTAACTGTAAAACATGTTCATCTTTGAGCACAGAGACGGCCGGCACCACGATGAAACAAGCCTGGCTCTTGGCCTGGTCTGGAGCAGGCTTGCTGCATAGTAGAAGTCTCCATGGTAACGGATGTGTCTCTGCTTTTGTGCAGCTGAGTCCAGGCGAAGTTCACCCCGGATAAGTGCAATAACTCAGTTTTATCTGTCATTTAGGTTTCGCACAATAGCCTGGTTTACAATAAATAATAATATAGATACTGAGGAGTCAACTTAGTCTGGTGATTTAGACTCAGTTTAAACTTGAATGCTGAAGACTCCTGATTCTACTGTGACCTGGGGTTCAGTGACACGACTACAACACTAGCAGCAGCATGGCAGGAACCAGCTCTTGTAGATGTGATCCTCTTAGTATCATATGCAGGTACCAAAAAAGAGCCAAAAGATTTGATCTGAAGTAGTCTGTGTCTTTTAATGACTGTGATAAAGTCTTTCACTGGACTTGGACTCAGAGGAGACTGACTGTCAGACTTTGAACAGGTGGTCACATGACTGGAAACTTTTAACTCTATAGAATGATTAACTATCATGAAAATAAACTCTGTGTTTATAGAGTTCATTTAAATGAACTGTGTTTACCTTGAAGTTATTTGCACAAATCAGTCTGTTTTGATATCGAGCCGAACCACATCAAATGTTATCCCCTGTCCAGACCGTACTCTTATCTTTTATTGACAGATCCATCAAGATGAGATTGAGTCTTATCTAGTTTGACAAGAGTCATCCCTGTGCTACCTTAGTTGCCCATGAGCAGCATTTAGCAAATTACAACGGTGAAGGGAAACTGGCTTTAACAGGCAGAAACCTCGAGCAGAACCAGACTCATGTCAGACAGTCATCTGCAGAGAGTGAGCTGGGACTGGAGAGAGAATTATGTTTGGACAAAATTCAGCTTTTTAACTTTAAATAAATATAAAATAAACATTCATGTAGATCCAACAAGTCAACTGTTAGATTTTGAAAAGCCTTCCTTTCTCCTTTCTGTCATGGCGTCTTTTGATCCCTTGTTTGACTGCTAAGCCAAGAGGCGGGAACAAATGAGTTGTGTATATATATATATATATATATATATATATATATGCAGTTACTGACTGTCTTTATTTGTTGAAACAGATGCTCTACTACGTAAAGGATCCTGGAGCTACCATCAGCTTCTTCCAGAGTCTCCTTGACAAGAATGGGAAGCTTTTAATCATATTAGTGTCTGGTAAGTAGATGGATATTCTCATCTTGTCCTGCTCTCTGAATGATGATTTTTTCAATTCATGTACTACTTTATAATGATTAGCAGCAGGTGTTAGTCATGATAGGGACATTAGTATCATAGCAAGAAGAACAAGAAGAAGATCCCAAAGTTATACAGTTGTAATTCAGGGGTGGGTGATATTATCATTAGCAGTAGTAATTAGTGATGACAATAACACTACAGTTACTGTTATTTTCTCCAGTATTGATGGATGTGGAGTCACAGCAGTATATAAAAGGGCCGTGCCTGTCCCCTCCCTGGTTACTAAGACGTGATTCAAGGTGCCCCTATTCCAAGACGACTCCGGAGACAGACAGCAAAAATAAATCCTGAGTCTGACTCACCGAGCACAGACTGCAGCTTCAACATGTTTCATATTAATTACATTAATAAATAAGAGGGCAGCAAGTTAAGAACCGCCTTGTAAATGAGGACGTGCAAGTAGACAATGCAGGCCGGCCAACTTCATTATACAGAGAAGAGATTTGTAATGAACCTCAGAGATCCATGGTAAACTGTGAGGGCTTGGATTTAATGCATGCATATATATATAAATATAAAACATTACCATAGCCAATTAGGGGAATAAATATAACTGCAGCAAAAGAAAAGCTGGACTTCATTCTGAAATAGAAGCTCTTCTTAGAGGTAACTGTGTTTCGAGTTTGAAAGACAAACTAAATTCATGAATCTCTGAAACACAGGTCCATGAAATGATTAATTCAACAGTGAAATAATTATATATGTTTTTACACTGAATGAAGTGGTATTTAAATAAATTAATGACACGTTTATGTATTTAATAGCCATTTTAATTAATTAATGACATATTTAAGTATTTATTTGAAGATGTATTTTAATATTTCATTCTGTCTCTTCTCATCCTCTATACAACGATAGCAGTTGCTTGGAATATAAAATACTTCAGACTGTTTTTAACCTGGGGTTGTTAAGGTTGTAGGAAGTTCTGAGGAAACTCTCAGATTTGACAGATGAAACTTTAACTGTCTGAAAACAGCCGTCAGAGTTCGCTCCAGAATCTCCTGCTCTCGCCCCACATCGTGGTTTTACAGTAAACCGGACAGTCCAGAAGTGAACCGCGCGTTTTTATGACCTTTAACCCTGTGTGGGTCGAAGTGCTTATATATGTACTCATACTTGGCCAGTACAGCTGATTCTGATTCTTTTCAGCATGTTGGCTTCATATGTCCAGCTACAGTTTGTCAAAAAGTCCTGATGCCACTTCTCACCGTTACGACACATTTGCATTTGACGGCTTTTAAAACTCTCGACTTTCTTCTCTTCATGTCTTCGTTCCAGGCGACAGCGGCTGGGGAAAGCTTATGCGAACTTACAGGGACGATCTCTGCCACACAGAAGTAAGCCAGTGTGTGACCACCGGAGACATCAAAAGCTTCCTGGAATCTCGAGGAGTGAGATACCAAAACTATGTGCTGCCGTCTCAAATGGATATTACTGAGTGTTTCTCTGAGGGGGATGAGAAAGGTGAGCTGCTTCTGGATTTTCTCACTCAGGTGCAGGACTTCAGCAAGACGGCCTCAGCTGAGCTGAAGGCTGGTGTCCTGAATTTACTTCGGGATCCAGACTGTTGCGTTGAGTCCGATGGTAAAGTAATCTTTAACAACAATCTTGAGGTGATCGTCATAAACCAGCTCACCTAAAGACCGAGTATCAGGAAACATCCTGTGAAACTTAAAGAGAGAACCTTCACCTGGAGTCAGTTTAAAACAGAGAAATTCAATCAGAGACACGTCATCAAATGTTATTGATTATCCACAGTAAAGAGAGTTTTAGCTTCTATATGTACATATGTATTTTTTTAATTAAAGGTTCAGTCTGTAGAATATTTATAAATCTGATCCTCCATATTTTAGATTTTTACAATCAAAAACTTGATCAATACAAATTCATTCATTTGCCCACAAAGACTTCTGATCTCTCTCCGTCCTCTTTGTTCACTGACACGTGTCTCACTCAGTCACCCAGTGATTCTCAAAACATCTTTGATTTCTTCTAGTTTGTCTGTTTTGAGCTTCTGTAGAAAACATAAAGACCTCTGAAGCGAGGACCCTCTTCTTAGTCATCGGAAATTATACCATTATGAAATAATTCAAACATACTTCTACAAAATACACTCCACTACTTGGAAAAAATGCTACAAAACTCTACATGACATACCTTGAATCAGGTCTGTTTTGATATAGACATATTAATAATGAGGTGTGATACTCTGAAATTTACAGACTGTAGTTGTCTTATTTGCTTTTAAAGAAATCGACTCGATCAAATGATGCTTTTGTAAAGTGTCTATTGCAGCTTCGCCTCCACCTGTTTTAGGGCAGCTCTTTTTTTCACTCGCCCACGTCACATGACAGTGAGGACCAATCAAGACATGAAGAATGTGCACACACACAACAGCACTTACCCCTCTCCAACATACTGGTCTCTTGTCTTCAACATCCGCTATGAACATCGTGCCGTCTGCTGCTGTCTTTAAATATTTTCAAAAACAGTTTCTCTCAGTTCAAACTCGAGTAACTTGTTTGAACACAAAATGATTTTAAAGATGCAACAGCAGAAGAGTCACAGAAAGCATTTTTCAGCTTTGAATCATCATAAGACTTTTTTAAAGGGATGTATGTAATGATGAATTTAGCGTTCTGTTCATCAGGAGTCTGTTTGTTGAGAGGTTTTTTATTGTCTGTTTGTTTGTGGTCTTATCTTAACAAATGTGCATAAATAAAAATAGCTTGGCTTATTTCTTTCTCTCAGATTTTGTTCATTTGTCTTGAGAAACCTGAATTTCTTCTCCAGATGTTTGAACCACCTTGAGACAAATGTGATCAGGATTTACTGGTTTGGACCACAGCAGGTACCAGACCTGTTTAGATGCTGTTCTCATTGAATGAAATGAATGTAAAAATAAAAGATTAAACATCTGGATTTTCCTCTGAGAAAAATCAGTTTTACTCTTTATTAGAAAATCACAGCAGTTTACATCTCCTGAAACCTTCACAGTCAGCCCTCCTCTTCCTCGGTGACGTAACAAGACCGGTCCCAGCAGGGGTAACATGATCAGACCAGGAACAGAGCGCTGCTGCCACCATGATGTAGGCAGGAGAAACTGCATTTTGAACATGCATGATTGAGGAACTCTGTTCAACAGTGTTGGCAGGATGTAAAGAACATCCATCCTGACATGTCAGCTCTGCAGTCAGCTGTGATGTTTTTGACTGTCATGAAGCAGGTTAAAACTTACAGTCACGCCTCTTTATGATCGAATGAAGCAAACCAACGCTGCTGTAGAAAACAAGGTAGATAATAACTGTAGTGATCATCTGCCTTTTTTACATTTACCACAGTATATACTCTAAGAAGGCACCGTTGGTCTGTGAGCATCACTTTTTTACAAATCTGAATTTCCCACAAGAACTTTCATGAAGTTTTAGGAGTGGCAGCTTTTCTTCAAGTACACAACTAAACCTTTTTTTTGCTTCACAAGATTTCTTCAACAAAAAGGTTATTTAAAGCTTTTTTAATTGACAGTTCATCACATTGATGTTCATTTTTAAATCAATGATAGAGTACAACCAATTTACAGTAAAGTAGATGCTGCACGCTTTTATCTCCAGCAGGACTAATAATGCAGCGGAGAGAGCAGTAAATAAGAGTTCAGGAAAGATAAGAGAGCTGGGGAGGTAAACCCCCCCTCAATGATTCTCTATTGGTGCTCTTATGGTTGTATGGGCTTACACCTGAGGACTTGTCTTTGGGGATACAGAGTGAGGTTTAGGAGGGCAGACTTGGTGGAAAAGGAATATGTCAAAGATAATGGACGGTGAGCTGGTGGGTAAAACTCAAAACTACTGAAGTCATAAATTTTTTGATATTAAATGTCGACAATTTTATTGATGAAAAATGATGGATGATAGAATACCCTTTTTATCGTGTCACCTCTATTTAACCAGAAACTATATTTTTATTTCTGCAGATTCAGACAGAAAAAGAAAAAAACAAAAACAAGAATCAGGCAGAAATTTCATGAACCAAACAAACAGCAGTGTTTCAATACTAATGTATTAACAAGAGAGGACCACTAATCCCATTCACTGTGTCTCAGCCTTGTCTCAGACACCACTTTAACCAAAGACAGAGGAACTATTGAGACACTGTGTCTTTGAGTTTCTCCCCGGTAAACCACGTGCTGTCCTTTCATTGGATCAGTGTCTCCTGGGGGTTTGTCTCTCCACACTCAGCCCTGCCTAACAGGGAAGCTGTTCTGTGAGAAGCTCTTGAGGAAACCTGCTTCTCTCTACCGAAACGCTGAAAACATGTAAGTGAATTCTGAAGATTTCCGCACAAACACGTCTCTCTGTAATCTGTATAACAGGCAGGAAGCAGACATCTGTCGGGGGAGGAACTTCGTGAAACACCGAAGACGTCAGGCTCGGTTTACGTCTTCAGTCTTCAGTTTGTCTGTTTTCACTAAAATAAAACAGGTTCGGACTGTGAAGACCAGGACCCGCAGACCTGCTCACATTCACAGCTGGTCTGTGAAGTGTGCACTTTACAGCAGCAGGTCTGGGTTTGTAATATCCGAAAAATGGAGGCGACCCTGCAGCTGTAGACCCGGTTTTAATGGTTCTGGTCTTTTAGAAATAAATACTTACGCGTCTTGATTTGTTGGCCAACAATACGATGATAAATTCATTTAATAAACTGTTTGTCTTTGACCCAGGCTCTGGAATGATCTTCATCTATCTCTGCACTTCATTGATTCTGTTGACTCTTTTAACTCAAACCAACTCAAACTTATTTATTTACTCAGGCTTTTGTTGAATTGTTTTCAGGGCCACTATGACTGTTTAAATGTTGTTGTCTTGGCCTTTTAATCTGTATGTACATTTTTATTTTTGTCCATGTGAAACACTTTGTGACTCTTTTGTCTGTGAAAAGTGCGATACAAATAAAGTTTACTTACTTTCTCAGGTCCAAGTGTCTCCATGCAAAGGCAGCAGCTTCATCTGCAGTTACATGTTTCCTAAATTGAAATCCCGACACATGGACACACCAAACACTGACTGGCTGACAGCTGCTGTTTGTGCAAATGTTGAAGGTTTGTTTGGTTTGTCTTTCCAGATTTTTGCGATGGCATCTTCTTCACTCCGGAGTCTGGTTCATGATGACAGCAGGTACCAGAGATCCTTTCAGCTCTTCCTAGAGCGCTCCTCTGAGCATCAGTGTATGCGGGACTTCATCAACAATGTGCTGCCAGATATACTGGCCAGGTAATCTGCAAAATCCACGTCTACAAAGAGTCGACATGACCACACAGGAACGAAAACATCAGAGGACAGGTGGACTCATGTACAGAGAAGTCATGACTATAGATATTCAAGAGTCTGAGCAGGTTATCAGGTTATTTAACACGACTGATAATAAAATAGAAAAGTAAAATATCTAAAACTGTTGTATAAGTCACTCTAAATAACATTTGCATTTGAGGATTGTGTTATTTTCAATGTGTTACTTCAGAATAGACACAGATTTACAGAAAATATCCTTAAAGGGGACCTGCCGCCAAAATTTCATCCCCATTTTTATCAATTTTTCATAATCCTTGATGTCCTCTGATCATGTTTGCAACATAATTTTAGCTGAGAAGTTATTTGATGGTTTGTTTTAGTATGCCTAAAAAACCTTACAGGAAAACCAACTGGTTTTGGCTCATTAACATTTATGGTAATGAGCTTTGCTCTGATTGGATCGCTGCTGTGAAGCCTGCTGTGCTCTGATTGGCTCAGCAGTGGAGGTTCGGATTTCGGTTTATCCACTGTTATTATGCTAATGCTAATAGCATATGCTAATGTGTGCTAAAGTAAGGTGCCCAGATGTCTGTAATGATATCCGGGGATATTCGATGCGGCGGCGGCGGTGCAGGGGCTGCAGGGGCTGTGAGATCACAGACAAAATCTCGGTACTATTTAGTAGCAGCGCATGCCCCTTGTAATAACCCCGTAAGAACTGTTGTTCAGGACTGCTAACTAAATTCGGCTACTGTAATAACCGTTGTTCGAGCCCACACGCAACATTTTCGCTCTCATTCATGAAACGCTTAAATGGGACATTTTCGGGGACAGCTTTTGCCGGGGACAGATCATCCAATACGGGGACTGTCCCCGGAAATCGGGGACGTCTGGTCACCTTATGCTAAAGGCTAAAAACGGCAGGTATTAAACCATATATTTTAGACCCTGAGTCCGAAGAGGAGGTGGAAGTTGAGGAAGAAGCCGGAGATCTCCAGCGGTGTTTTCTCATTCATTCTGCCCGGCTTTAAGTTCATTTTCCCGGCAGTGAACCGAAGGAAACACCGGTCGTTTGGAAGAGACCCATAGCGGATACAGCGGTAGCTGGGTCTCGCTCTGGCTGTGACTGAGTACGAGAACGAGAGAGTGGGCGCGGCTCACCGGGGACGCGCTCATGAATAATAATGAGCAAGGTCGGCGCAACGTAACACCGACGGGCTTTTTCTATTGGCCTGGTTTACTCGTTCCTTGATTTTAAACCTTTACAGAATGCAAACGACGTAACGGTTTGTTTTCACATTTACAACATAAGACGAACATAATATGGACCTTATCTGACACAAAAACCCCCCAAAATTACATTTTTATGGCAGGTCCCCTTTAATAAACTCTGTTATAGAAACATGTCAGTTTATAAAAAGGCAGTTTGTGTCCACAGCTGGAGTTACGGTTAGGACTGAACTCCAAAACAAACTGTCAGCATTATTAAGGGTTAATATCATACATGTTACTGTGATAAAGTGTATCCACAAAACTGAGCAACTGACTACATGTACACACATTTACTCAGGATCTAAAAAGGAGTACCCATGTGTAAAAAAAAAGGGCATATTAATTGTTAAGGAAGCTTAAACTTCTTTGTCATGCTACTGAAAACGAAACCCCACTTTCTCCAGTTTTCCTGGAGGTTCCACTGACTGTGTGGAGAGAACATCACAGAGGGAACTTAAGAAACCAGACTCTCAAGTCAAATAAAGAAAACAGGTGATTAGAATTCAGAACATGAGCCACAGAAAATACCACAGCTACACTCAAAGCTATGAGGAACGTTAGATCAGACAGTCTCACCCACCCAAGCGGCAGAATCGACAGAATCATATTCTCCAAAATGTGACCCAAATTCAGCAGGTTGGATGATGTGATTCCTTCACTTTATTGTTTTGAAGACTTAAAGGGTTTTCTCTGCTCTCCGCTCAGCATAGGAGATGGGAAGTCTCATCTGAATGTCATTGGAGTTGGAAGTGGAGCTGGTAAGAACACGCACCATGGCGCTCTTATAAAACCTCACTTTTCTGTTAACTAACTCCTTGTAATGTATATAAGGAGTCTGTGCAGCAGTACAAACCCTCATCCCTGTGATTGCTATGAAGAATTTTTCTGCATCTATTGAGTTTTCAGATTAATCTTTAACTGGAGTCCCTGACGAAGTAAACACCTGCACTTTGTCTGCAGAGAACATGATATGAGAGGTTAATTAGTCTCTAAGTAAATCTGCGACTTGTCATTGAGTGTTATAACCTCTTTTAAAATGAACATGAGCTGTTGGTTTCATGATGATAGTGGTGGTGTTACAGGAGAAGATATGTCGCTGTGTTCAGCTTTATTACCTTAATGTAACTCTGCATACATAATCACTTTGGTGTCAACGGTACCATAAGAGATTCACAGTGTTAACTCCTTGGATGTAAGACAGACGTGTTTTTTTGGATCATAGTTTCATTAGATTTATCATTCATGTCCTCAAAGAGAGATTTTCAGTTTTCAGTAAAACAGATGTGTGGTGCCACAGGTGAGATTGACCTGGAGATGCTGTCCAAGCTCCACCTGAAGTACCCAGGAGCGACGGTGGATAATGAGGTGGTGGAGCCGAGCAAGCAGCAGCTTCACAACTACAAAGGTGCAGATTCACGGGCTGCAGTCGTGTTTAAAAGACAAAGTTAGCTTTACGTTTATGAAACGATGTCTCTGTTTTTCATGCTATTTTATCAGCCTAAAAATGTTCTCATTAAAAAAATAAAATATACTAACATGCCATTGAAATCTCAGATACCTGACTTTAATGAAATAGAACAGATCAGAGCATTCAACAGCTACAATTCCAAACTTTATTTGTTGTTTTTTAGGTGTGGCTAAATTAATAATTATGAGATCAAGTACTAAGTAAAAAATTATTACGACTGCTCCTATTAAAACAGCGAGAAAAAAAAAACCTCCTGCTGGAGCTTTTAGTTCCAAAGTAAACGAGTGTTTTTGTTCGAACTTTGTGTCATTATTAAGAGATATATTCACAACATTAACAAACAGTTCCAGTGACTGAATTTGACTGAGTCAGTGTTGTTTTGTAATTACGGTGATGTTTCAGCTCCTTCTCTTTCCTCTGTTTGGTTTTTCTGGTGCAGTTTTGGTGGGACAGACTCCTGGTCTGGACTACATCAACTTCACCTGGAACTGCATGACTTCCTCTGAGTTTGAAGAGAACTGGAAGGAGAAGAAGATGACGAAGAAGGCCGACTTCATACACATGATCCAGGTTTGTGCTGCAGATGGAGGACTTCTGAACACACAGAGGATGATGGTTGGAAAGGTCTTCGTCATACCAGAGGCAACTGGCCAGTCTTGTAGAAGTTGAGTCCGTGACTCACACTTGGGCCTGACTTGAGTCCTGATTATCAGGACTCGTGACTTGGACTTTAGCAGGTCTTGAGCATTGGCTCCATTACGGCTCTGAAGATGGAGAGAAGGACTCAGACATGTTAACTAATGAAGAGGGTCTAAGCTCAAACTCTGACAAAGACCAATGAGATGATTACGTTACTGTTATCAAACTAACAGCAACATTAGCCTCCCTCAGAAACAAAACTACCACTGATAGTTGGGCCGCAGGTACTTTTGAGTTTGTTGCCTGCAGTTATCCCACTGCATCAGAATTAATGAGCATGTTTCCTTATTAAGGAGGGCAGGAAGTACATTAATGTTTGACACACAATGCTGTAGCCTCAGTGATCGTTTAAATTTCTACAGACATGTGGACAGGATCTGTCAGAATCTAACATTTATGAAACACTGGTGTTTTCTGCACATCCAAAATGTCACAGACAGTCTGGGTTTATACAGTCAGTCCATGTTCATACAGTCAATAGTTTTGAGTCTAAGAGCTCCTGAGGGCTGTTGCACAAAAACAGAATTAAGAACTTTATTTTGAAAAAATGAAGCTTGACCCGGTTTGATCAGTTCATCCTCAGTCTGGGGCATTTGGCACATTCGCCAAACCAGAGTGAGGAGGTGCAGCTCTGCCAAGCCAGGTGGAAGTAACTCCGGCAAGTGCGGTCTCACAGCTTTCTTTAATAGACTTCAAACTTGATTGCAGAATAATTAACACAGACACAGAGAAGGTGCATGCCTTCCTTGTTAAAGGAGAACGTTGTTGTTCATGCAGGAAATACAGTGAGAATAAAAGATGTCAAAGACGATGAAATTTTCTTTTACCAAATTCACTGAATTGTCTGACATCTGTACAAAGATCACCTTAAAAACAAACTGAGATAGCAAAAATGGAGATTCAAGCGTCAAGGAGAATAACAGCAGGATAAGAACATTGACCTTTAGAGCCTCTAAACCCGATCAAAATAACAGGACTGTTTGACTTAGTGATGGTTTAATGGAGGCTGATAGAAGTGAGCGTGTGGTAACTGTAAAACATGTTCATCTTTGAGCACAGAGACGGCCGGCACCACGATGAAACAAGCCTGGCTCTTGGCCTGGTCTGGAGCAGGCTTGCTGCATAGTAGAAGTCTCCATGGTAACGGACGTGTCTCTGCTTTTGTGCAGCTGAGTCCAGACGAAGTTCACCCCGGATAAGTGCAATAACTCAGCTTTATCTGTCATTTAGGTTTCGCACAATAGCCTGGTTTGCAATAAATAATAATATAGATACTGAGGAGTCAACTTAGTCTGGTGATTTAGACTCAGTTTAAACTTGAATGCTGAAGACTCCTGATTCTACTGTGACCTGGGGTTCGGTGACACGACTACAACACTAGCAGCAGCATAGCAGGAACCAGCTCTTGTAGATGTGATCCTCTTAGTATCATAAGCAGGTACCAAAAAAGAGCCAAAAGATTTGATCTGAAGTAGTCTGTGTCTTTAAATGGCTGTGATAAAGTCTTTCACTGGACTTGGACTCGGAGGAGACTGACTGTCAGACTTTGAACAGGTGGTCACATGACTGGAAACTTTAACTCTATAGAATGATTAACTATCATTAAACCTCTGTGTTTATAGAGTTCATTTAAATGAACTGTGTTTACCTTGAGGTTATTTGCACAAATTATTCTGTTTTGATATCGAGCCGAACCACATCAAATGTTATCCCCTGTCCAGACCGTACTCTTATCTTTTATTGACAGATCCATCAAGATAAGCTTGAGTCTTATCTAGTAAGACAAGAGTCATTCCTGTGCTACCTCAGTTGCCCATGAGCAGAGCCCTTTGCAGCATTTAGAAAATTACAACGGTGAAGGGAAACAAACTTTAACAGGCAGAAACCTCGAGCAGAACCAGACTCATGTCAGACAGTCATCTGCTGAGAGTGAGCTGGGACTGGAGAGAGAATTATGTTTGGACAAAATTCAGCTTTTTAACTTTAAATAAATATAAAATAAACATTCATGTAGATCCAACAAGTCAACTGTTAGATTTTGAAAAGCCTTTCTTTCTCCTTTCTGTCATGGCGTCTTTTGATCCCTTGTTTGACTGCTAAGCCAAGAGGCGGGAACAAATGAGTTTTGTATATGTATATATGCAGTTACTGACTATCTTTATTTGTTGAAACAGATGCTCTACTACGTAAAGGATCCTGGAGCTACCATCAGCTTCTTCCAGAGTCTCCTTGACAAGAATGGGAAGCTTTTAATCATATTAGTGTCTGGTAAGTAGATGGATATTCTCATCTTATCCTGCTCTCTGAATGATGATTTTTTCAATTCATGTACTACTTTATGATGATTAGCAGTAGGTGTTAGTCATGATAATAACATTAGTATCATAGCAAGAAGAACAAGAAGAAGATCCCAAAGTTGTACAGTTGTAATTCAGGGGTGGGTGATATTATCATTAGTAGTAGTAATTTGTGATCACAATAAAACTACAGTTACTGTTATTTTCTCCAGTATTGATGGATGTGGAGTCACAGCAGTATAAAAGGGCCGTGCCTGTCCCCTCCCTGGTTACTAAGACGTGATTCAAGGTGTCCCTATTCCAAGACGACTCCGGAGACAGACAGCAAAAATAAATCCTGAGTCTGACTCACCGAGCACAGACTGCAGCTTTCAACATGTTTCATATTAATTACATTAATAAATAAGAGGGCAGCAAGTTAAGAACCGCCTTGTAAATGAGGACGTGCAAGTAGACAATGCAGGCCGGCCAACTTCATTATGCCGAGAAGAGCGGTGAGGGAGAGACTTCAGATTTGTAATGAACCTCGGAGATCCATGGTAAACTGTGAGGGCTTGGATTTAATGCATGCATATATATATAAATATAAAACATTACCATAGCCAATTAGGGGAATAAATATAACTTTGCAGCAAAAGAAAAGCTGGACTTCATTCTGAAATAGAATAGAGGTAACTGTGTTTCGAGTTTGAAAGACAAACTAAATTCATGAATCTCTGAAACACAGGTCCATAAAATGATTAATTCAATAGTGAAATAATTATATATGTTTTTACACTGAATGAACTGGTATTTAAATAAATCAATGACACATTTATGTATTCAATAGCCATTTTAATTAATTAATGACATATTTAAGTATTTATTTGAAGATGTATTTTAATATTTCATTCTGTCTCTTTTTATCCTCTTTACAATAATAGCAGTTGCTTGGAATATAAAATACTTCAGACTGTTTTTAACCTATGTTGGGTTTTTTTTATGTGTTGTATATTTGGCAATGTCATTATGGAGTTCTGCTGCATGTTGAGCCATGCACAGTTGTACTAAAGACGGAGTTAAATCTTTGGAGCACCCAAAACAACGAGGGAGTGATAACATCGTCCTGTTTGAGATGACAGATGATGTTCCCACGTTGTTTTCATCTTTGATGGCTTTAATAATCACGATTAGCGTACAGATACTGTGGAAAATGTCGGCTCCGCATCCAGTTACTGAAGGCACACGCCCACAATTCATGCAAGGCATCATGGGGCCTGGGAATAAGGTGGATATTCTTCTAGAAGAGCCTGGGATTGTTAAGGTTGTTGGAATCGTGGTTGTACAGTAAACCGGACAGTCCAGAAGTAAACCGGGCGTTATTATGACCTTTAACCCTGTGTGAGTCAAAGTGCTTGTATGTGTACTCACACTTGGCCAGTACAGCTGATTCTGATTCTTTTCAGCCTGTTGGCCTCATATGTCCAGCTACAGTTTGTCAAAAAGTTCTGATGCCACTTCTCACCGTTACGACACATTTGCATTTGACGTCTTTTAAAACTCTCGACTTTCTTCTCTTCATGTCTTCGTTCCAGGCGACAGCGGCTGGGGAAAGCTTTGGCGAACTTACAGGAACGATCTCTGCCACACAGAAATAAGCCAGTGTGTGACCACCGGAGACATCAAAAGCTTCCTGGAATCTCGAGGAGTGAGATACCAAAACTATGTGCTGCCGTCTCAAATGGATATTACTGAGTGTTTCTCTGAGGGGGATGAGAAAGGTGAGCTGCTTCTGGATTTTCTCACTGAGGTGCAGGACTTCAGCAAGATGGCCTCAGCTGAGCTGAAGGCTGGTGTCCTGAATTTACTTCGGGATCCAGACTGTAGCGTTGAGTCTGATGGTAAAGTAATCTTTAACAACAATCTTGAGGTGATCGTCATAAACCAGCTGACCTAAAGACCGAGTATCAGGAAACATCCTGTGAAACTTAAAGAGAGAACCGTCACCTGGAATCAGTTTAAAACAGAGAAATTCAATCAAAGACGTGACACACGTCATCAAATGTTATTGATTATCCACAGTAAGGAGAGTTTAGCTTATATATGTACATATGTATTTTTTTAATTAAAGGTTCAGTCTGTAGAATATTTAACTACATTTAGTGAAAATTCTTCTTAGTCATCGGAAATTAAACCATTATAAAATAATTCAAACACACTTCTACAAAATACACTCCACTACTTGGAAAAAATGCTACAAAAACACAACGTACCTTGAATCAGGTCTGTTTTAATATAGGGATATTAATAATGAGGTGTGATACTCTGAAATTTACAGACTGTAATTGTCTTATTTGCTTTTAAAGAAATGGACTCGATCAAATGATGCTTTTGTAAAGTGTCTATTGCAGCTTCGCCTCCACCTGTTTTAGGGCAGCTCTTTTTTTCACTCGCCCACGTCACATGACCGTGAGGACCAATCAAGACATGAAGAATGTGCACATACACACACACACACACACAACAGCACTTACCCCTCTCCAACATACTGCTCTCTTGTCTTCAACATCCGCTGTGAACATTCATCGTGCCGTCTGCTGCTGTCTTTAAATATTTTCAAAGACAGTTTCTCTCAGTTCAAACTCGAGTAACTTGTTTGAACACAAAATGATTTTAAAGATGCAAACAGCAGAAGAGTCACAGAAAGCATTTTTCAGCTTTGAATCATCATAAGACTTTTTTAAAGGGATGTATGTAATGATGAATTTAGCGTTCCTGCATCATCTTAGCCCTCTTTTTCGAGGTTTTGCACAGACTATGTGATTGTTATTATTATTATTATTATTATTGCACTTCTTAATGAGTATTCTGATCAATATTGGTAAAACCACAGAAACAAGTATCAGTATTGAAGTCAAACATTCAGTGTCACCCGTCCGTAGAGCCAGCTGCAGGTTTTTTATTGTCTGTTTGTTTGTGGTCTTATCTTAACAAATGTGCATAAATAAAAATAGCTTGGCTTATTTCTTTCTCTCAGATTTTGTTCATTTGTCTTGAGAAACCTGAATTTCTTCTCCAAATGTTTGAACCACCTTCTCACATCAGAGACAAATGCGATCAGGATTTACTGGTATGGACCACAGCAGGTACCAGACCCGTTTAGATGATGTTCTCATTGAATGAAATGAATGTAAAAATAAAAGATTAAACGTCTGGATTTTCCTCTGAGAAAAATCAGTTTTACTCTTTATTAGAAAATCACAGCAGTTTACATCTCCTGAAACCTTCACAATCAGCCCTCCTCTTCCTCGGTGACGTAACAAGACCGGTCCCAGCAGGGGTAACATGATCAGACCAGGAACAGAGCGCTGCTGCCACCATGATGTAGGCAAGAGAAACTGCATTTTGAACATGCATGATTGAGGAACTCTGTTCAACAGTGTTGGCAGGATGTAAATAACATCTATCCTGACATGTCAGCTCTGCAGTCAGCTCTGATGTTTTTGACTGTCATGAAGCAGGTTGAAACTTACAGTCACGCCTCTTTATGATCGAATGAAGCAAACCAAAGCTGCTGTAGAAAACAAGGTAGATAATAACTGTAGTGATCATTTGCCTTTTTTACATTTACCACAGTAAATACTCTAAGAAGGCACCGTTGGTCTGTGATCATCGCTTTTTTACAAATCTGAATTTCCCACAAGAACTTTCATGAAGTTTCCAGAACAGCCCTCTAATTTCTCCCATGATTCAGTGCAGGAGTGACAGCTTTTCTTCAAGTACACGACTAAACCTCAGACCACCTGCTCCAACACCACCAGAGTCACTTTACAGTCTAATACACTACGACCATGAGTTTGTGATCATGTCTGACAGCAGTTAATGTGAGGTGTATACAACAAAACAACCAGGTTAATGTCATAGGAGCTGTAAGTCACAGAACTATCATGTATCAGATAACGTATTAAAGGGCAGCCCACGTCATTTTGAGGCTTAACATCATATATGAGATTAAAGTGTTCAAATACAGTTTTTAACTGAATTGCATGTAAAGTCCAGAAATCTGAAAACAGCTGTATTTCTGTAAAGATGTGATTTTGGAGATCAGAAGTTTCAGCAGCGATGTATAAAAACAGGAAGTTGTCAGGTCCAGAGCTGAAAGGTCCCATTAAATAAACTTTAAATAAAGATGTCGGTGAACTTATATCTGAACTATATTTCAGACAGTGAAGGTGTAGGGTTTTTGCTTCACAAGTTTTCTACAACAAAAAGGTTATTTAAAGCTTTTTTAATTGACAGTTTATCATTTTGATGTTCCAACTTTTAGAGGAAGAACTTAATTGATCCCTAAAGTGAAATTCAATAGATTAGAGATCAATGTTAAGCTAAAAGAGGGTCATCTACATTTGTACGAAGCTTTAAAACATTTTACACTTCTCATCAAATGGTTCAAAAAAGCAAAAGCTGGAAATAAAGCAGGAATCTATAAGAATCTCAGGCATGAATGAGTATGCAGCTCAGAGTGCTGTCGAATAACACCCTGCCATCTTTCTGAGCGCTGCACTTGTTTCTGAGCAGATCTAATATCCCGGCTCTGGTCTCCGGGGTGAAGGACTGGTGAAAATGATCTTGTGCAGTCATGAAACTGAGCAGACGTCCTCCGGTCAGGCTGCTCGGATTAAAGCACTCACTGATGTCAAACGTGTTGGGAACGACAAACTCCTCGTATTTGAGACCCTGCTCCTTCGCACAAGCAATCACGTCTTCTGATGAGCGGTACACTGAGATGGCGTCCACACAGAGCTCTTTCTTGTAGGTCTTCCACAGGGTATCCCAGCCCCCACCAGCTGGAGTGAACAAGATAAGAACAAGATTAATCTCAGATCAACTCCGTTCATTTATGACGACTCAGTCAAGTTAGTTTGTTCCGAGGAGGGCTTCATCTGTCTTTAACACATGGCTTTTATAACATACCCTCTCATTTGTTTGATTGTTAATTATTCAACACAAAAACTGAAAAGACACTTAAACACGCCAGAAATCATGAGCATCATGTTAACAAAGTAAAGTACCTAAAAACTGTTTTTATCCTTCAGTTTGAAATACGGCGGCGAGCGAGAGAGAGGGGGTGACATCAACCAAGTTCTGTCGGGACTGAGAAAGACCAAAACTACGACCACTGCAAACAGGACCATGAAGTTCGTACATGTGGTTCCTTCTGAGCGATACAGGAACCCCTATCTGACGGATGATTCATCGTATGTAACTCCTGCATCACAATAGTTCATCTCAAATAATTTAAATTCAAAATGAATTCATGAAGGAATGTTCTTTACACTTCAACAAAAGCCTGAAAACATCCCAAAACTGCGCAGGTTTGCTGCATGTGTGAATTATTCGGACGATATTAAACTATGATTTTTCCTGTCAGCACTTTCCTTTAACCTCGGCGTGACCAGGTGTTGTGACGGCAGCTCTGTGCTGTAGCAGGTGTTTTGGGTTGTTTTGCTTCTCGGTTAGAAAATCTGATTCAAACTAATAGCAAAGGCTTTTGGTCACATAAGAGGTGATGTGTGTGACGAGAATAAGGCCAGCAGGATTTCTTCTTCTGAAAAGAAGTGTTTTCAGATAAACCTCCTATCCAATAATAATGCTCCCTGTACAGGGACCTGAACCCTGCTCCCAACATCAGTGTCTGAGCGAGGAGAGCACATCAATATGTCGCTAATATTCAGGAGAAACGCGGCTAAAAAGACCGAAACCTCCTACTGAGAGTTTTTGATTCTACAGTGAGTGCAGCTGTATCTTATGCTGTGAAAGTCTGTATTTATAGCAAAACTACAGTGGGCAGGAAGGGACAAAACAGCATGAGAAAATATTGCATGAATTTCAGACTTGCATCACAGCGCAGTTGTTTAGCCTTGAAGGAGACGAGCACACAATTCAGGAAGAAGAAGAAGAAGAACAGGAAGAAATTCAGAAAATGAGGAATTCCACTGACCTGCTTCAATAATAATCATGAGTCTTCCGTTGCTCTTCAGAAGGCTGTGGTAGAACTTGATCGTGTCGTTAAGATTTTCTACATAGTAGATCATCTGTCAAGGAGAGAGTTCAAGCCTGTTTTCATACAAGGGAACACAGTTTGTCGAACTCCAAGGATGAAGTCAAGACCAGTTTTTCTGCAGACTGGAAAAGGATCTGCTGAGTTGATCTAGAGCTGGTTCTAACAGATGTACTTTGTAGGGAACTGAATTAATATAGTCTTCTACACAGAGGAAGATGACCAACTGTCCAAAACAGAATTCAGTCTGCTGTGTCAAAGGTCACAGAGGCCAAAATGACACTCCAACATCTGTTGGTATTTGGAAAGTCGGTCTGAATATCCATGAAGCAGCACGTGAAAATACCTGAATCATATGAATGAAGTCGAATCTCTTCTTGTCTCCTTTCTCCCTGACTTGCTTCTCGTAGCCCTCGCTGCCCATGGTGTGCCAAACAAACGGGATCTTCTTAAGGGTCGCGGTCTTTGCTACTAATGCTGTAAACAAGAGGGGGAAACAGTGAGCTGGCAGATAACGACACAAAATATTCCTGAACAATATCCAGGGAGCGGCCAGTTATTGATCAGGAGTTCATAGGAAGGTTTAATATCAGGGTAAAGTGTCAGTGCAGAGTTAGAGCTGGAGTCAAAGCAGGACCCTTTTTCAGAGCTGTGTGGGATGTGGATCAGAGTAGTCCTGGGTGCCAAACCAAAAGAGTTTGATAGTTTTTGTTCAGAGCAGTATTTACATGAATATCACGCTGTTATTATATTTGTGTTCATAAGCGACCAGCATTAACAGAGCAGTAGAAGGATTAGTAGAACAAAATCTCAAAACCTCAGAAGTCACCAAAGTCTGAGAAGTAAAGTGACAGATAGAAGAGAGGGACTGTACTTTTGAAGTTGTCTGTAAGTGCAGTGCTGCCCTCCACAATGTCAGCGCTGATCGGGACAGACGGGACGGTGGACTGGAGCAGAGTGAGGATCTGGATATCCACCTCACCTATACAGAAAAAAGAAAGATGGTCGTTTTTGGACAAGAAAATCTCACTGACTCAGAAAAATGTCGCCTCATTAAGACCTCGTTGTACCAAATAGAAGTTGTTTGATTGTAACAAACATTTCTGAAGCTAGAAGTTGTTGGCGACCATGATCAGTCAGCCTTCGTGCAGGATCAGTGACTGAGTCTGGTATAAGACTGGGATGAGTCTGTCTGTAACCTGTCAAAGCAAACTCCCACCTGTTAGTCAGGAGTTCTCATTCCAGGCCTTTAACCATGGGCAGGACAAGCAGCTCATAAGGAGGACCTTTAGTTCACATTATTTAAGACCAAAGTCAAATATAGATGATGAAGTTTAAAGTGAACCTTTTCTCACTCAGTAGTTCCAAGACAACTTTGACGATCACCCCAGAAACGTATCTTTGTCCAAATTAATCTGTAGATTCTCATTGCAGAGATTTTTCAAGATGGTTAATCATGAAAAAAACTCAAAATACATAATTTTTATTTACATATTATATAACATAACATATTATTTATCTGTGCTATAAGTGCTTGACATACAAAAATACCCTCAACTCTCAAACCATGCAGTGATCAGCAGAGGCACTGGTTGTATTTGCCAAATACATCATTGGATAACATAATGTAAATATTTAACACGATAAAATCCTAGCAGCAAAAAGAGACTATACTCATGATCACCCTCTGTTTTACTTCTGTATAAAATGATAGTGAAGCCGTGTCCAGGTCGTTTTTTTGTAGATAGCAGCCATCAAACATTATCACTTTATCTTCTGACTTACCTCCACCACTTCCAACACCGAGGACATCCAGGCTGTTTTTACCTGCTGCAATTCTACATCAACATATTAGAGAGAAAAGAGATTATGAACAAATAAAATTTTAGTTTAGCTCAATGTGACAAGAATACATTTATGTGGATCTTTATGTCTGTATTTATCGTTGCATTTGCGTGGCCATATTTCCTAATTAAAGTGGTTGAAAGTATTTTAAAACACACATCTTTTCATAATTTAACTCTACATTCTAACAAACCCCTGCAGGTCTCCTTTCATGTCTTCAGAGACAACATTTGCAAAGCACATAGAAAATGGTCAAAATCAGAATAAGAACTTTGAACAACAACAACAAAAAAAATGTACAGTTTTGTTTTTTCTTTTCCAGATTACAGACATCTAGACAATATGGACATATAGACAAACAATAAATAGATGATGAAGCACTCCCAGATTTTCCTGTCGTACCTCTGAAACTGTGCCGGCAGGACATCATGAGCGGTCTTCAGAATAGCGTCGTGTTCTCCTGAGTGTTGGAGGTAGAACTGGAAGCTTTGAACAGAGTTTCCCTCGTAGCATGTCTGCTTAGTTTCTTCAGCCATCACTGATTCCTGCAGGTTTGAAACCAACACATGACCACCTCAGAAACTACACTGGTTATTCATAGATGGTCTAAAACCTGAGTCAAACACTGTGTCTGCTTACCTCCAGTATGTGGTGAATATGGATAGATCTCTGATTGTTCTTCCTATTTTGAGGTGGAGCATTAATCCCTCCTTCCACAGACAGCCCACTCTCAACAAACACACTCATGTTACGTAACCTCAGATGAACTTTGCCAGTATCAGCAGTAGCTACTACTGGCAAAGGTTCCAGTCTGTATTCAGTCAGTGATGGGTTAATTTTTAATAGTGGGGATAGACCAATGGAAGCGCAGGACTGAAGGCCTACCCCTCAAAGTCAAACAGTCAGAACTGCATCTCTAATCAGTACAATTATTAATCATATCTCACTGCCTTAGGAGAAACAGGGGTCAGATAAAAACAGACTACAGGAAGGTGGACCGAGGTGGTCTTTCCACTTTCACAGAAATATTTAGTCCTCATTGTGAACAAAATTAATATCCATTAAGAATTGCATTTATGTAATACTACCAATAAACTCAACGTGTTTAGAATAAATATTTATGTCTTCATCATTGATATTTTGTTTCTGTCTCATAAATTTTGACTAAATCCATATTTTAACAGTATTGGACCTAAAAGCTCTCATTATGTATTAAAAACAGGTGACTGAAGATAAGCAGGATCATTGTGAGGGCTGTTCCTGCTGTCTGTGAAGCATGTGAGGGTGAGTGTTAGAACTGACCCTGGTTTATACCGGGGCACCATCTAGTGCTGAGAACAGAGTTTCTTAATGTCACCCGACAGTTGTCTGCATCAGTCTCTGCGATATGTTCAGCTGTAGGGACAACCTAATTGTCAGATCATTTAAAGGCGCCTGATACCCCAAAATGACTTCATTCAGCAGTAAAGGTCATCTCTCAGTCAATGCAATTGATTCATAAGCTCAGCTTTTTGGTACTAAAATCATCTGTTTTTAGGTATGTACATGAACTAAATGTCATGTTGGTTAGACTTTAAATCATTGTTAATACTAAGTTCATAAATTATTAATGAATTAATTAATTAAGTAATTGAATTTTCTTCTTGGGGATCAATAAAATTTTTCTTCTTTGAATTATTTATTTCATGAACACTAACGTTTTTTGGGCTGAGTGAGTAAAAAAAGTGAACCTGATCAAAAACTGAAAACTGCAGCCGTCCTCAAACACCAGGTTACATGTTTCATGGATTTAACAAAAGCAAAAAATACAGACAAAATTTATATTTTTACACAGAAAGGCAAAAAACAACAAAAACTTGATCCTGAGAAGTCCAACCAAAAATCCAATTCTGAATAAATAAATAAATAAACCACCACAGGCGAGCACCATAAGGAAAGGATACAGACGAGGACACAAAAGACAATGAACCAACTCAGAAGGAGGGACATGAGCCACAGGTGGGAAAGACGTTTATTGGTCCCTTCTTCTGAGCAGATGTGTTGTGCTCTGATATTCCTGAGGTCACATACTCTCTACTGACAGTACTGCCACTGAATTTTTAAATTTGCACGTTGAATACCAGAATCATGAGACGGTTACCCAGGGAAAAAATATAAGTCTTTACATGTTTATATGGATGTATATGTCCTTGCTATGAGTCAGAAAGGGCGGAGCAATGAGGTGAGAGACATCATCTAACAACTGAATGCTTTCCTTGAATTCATGAAATAAGAGCGCACCTTCTCACCGAGACAAAACTTAACTGGACTTTGACTTGATTTGTTAAACTCCACACAGTTTAAGTAACAATATTAACAAATGTTTGAAGTACTTATTTTAAGGAGGTGAGGTTTGAGGGTCCTGAGCCTGTTTTTACTGCTGTTCTAAATATCACCAGCAGATGGAAGTGTTCTCTAAAAAACACAGGTGATTGTGTGTCTGTGCTCCACGCAGTGAGTCCAGCAGATGGCACTCTTACACACATTATGACAGAAATACAGCCGAGAATATGGCTTTTGTTTAATTAAACTTTACGCAGCATCAGGCCTTTTTAATATTTGGCACACTTTGTTATTTGATCATCTGCTTTTATTTTGAAATCCACAAATGTTTCAAAGACAGACACCAGCGTCTGCTGCTGCTGCTGCGGCTCACAGAATCAGCCTCAGATGCTGAAGTCTTGTCTCAGGCTATCTAGCAAATGTGCTCTGGCTGTTCATTTACCTCATTAGCTTTAATAGATCAGTAATTGAAATTCATTAGAAATTCTTGTCAGTGTGCTCCAGCCTGATGTCAGTGGGCTTTCAGCACCTGCTAGAGCTCCATTACTGCTGGTTCTCATTGGGCCCTCTCACACCACAGAGCGGCAGAGCGTTAGTCACTGAGAAAATCAACATTCAGACTCTGTCAGAAAAGCTCTTCAAAATTTATTTCATTCACATTTGGTTCATGATCACACAAAAAAGTTTCCTGCTACACAAATAGGATCAAATGTTTGCAAACTATACAAACATGAATTTCAGCAGCTCCATGTTCTCCTGCAGTGTTGTTACAGCCTGGGTACGAGAATAAATTAGTTAAGTATTCATACTTTTCACCACTGTCCACCTGGCTTTCCAAACCTGACGATAGGAAAAGGTAAAAAGTTCTTTCAGTGGATCCAGAAACATGGAGCTGGACCTTCAGGAAAACAGGCTCTGATTGTTGTTACTAATGATGTGTTTCATTATAATTCTTCATTATTATCATTATTACAACTACTACCAACACTACTACAGAATAATGATAATATTACCACTACTACTATAAATAATACTATTAATACTACTACTACTACTACTACTATTAATACCACTACTACTACTACTATTAATACCACTACTACTACTACTATTAATACTACTACTACTATGACTATTAATACCACTACTACTACTACTACTACTACTACTACTACTACTACTACTAATAATAATAATAATAGTAATAATAATAATAATAATAATAATAATAATAATAATAATTCAATATGTTCATTTGCTGTCAAATTTTTTTATATAATGTTTTTATTTGAAAGCTAATTTGAGGTAAATAACAGGCATTAGTTTCCACATTTAAGAACACAGAGGAAATAAAAATCTGCTCATGTGAAATTTTCAAACTTTATTGTTTCTGTTTTTCAAACCTGGAAATTTACTGCTGAAAAAAGACTCCAAGATGATCTAGCCAACACCTTTTTTTTGTCTTCTCTGTGTGGAGACATCTTTTTCAGCCGTCACAGAAATGTGCAGACCTCTCCAGGACCGGAGCACGACACACGTTAGCCCTGAGATACATCTAACACTTTAATGGGCAGAGGCGAGAGCCAGACCCTGAAATATAGCTCTGATACCGGTCCAGTAAACGGCTGGCCTCTGTCGTGTTTTTTCATCCTGGGGAATTATTTCTTTTTAACATGTGCCGTCATATATCAGCTCACCTCCAAAGGTTTTAATCCAGCAGAATAAGACTATTAGACTGAGAATCCTGAGATTTAATAAACGATTAAATTTGGTCAGCTTCTATTTTTTCAATGAAATGAGCAGAATTCTGTCTTTTTCTTTTAATGAGGTTGTTGATTTGGTGAACAGCAGACAGGGTTTTAAATCAATCAAAAGGGGCCATCAGGTGATTTTACTAAATTCAAGCTTTATTTTTAATCTAGCCCCTAAAGTCCCAGTTTCACTGACCCTATCAATGTGAATATGAAGAACTTCAAAAAGATGGCAACGCTGTAGTTTTCCAGCACAACGGCGATGGATGAGAAAAAAATCGGCTGAATTTTCGCCAAACTGACCAGATCTCTTCAGATTTTGAAGAGTTGAAACATGAAGCCAACATTTCTAAATCTGAAATGAAGCGATCTGGTGTTAGCAGTTTTGAGGAATAACTTCATATTGACCCGAAGGTCTTCTGAACACATATTAGCTCATTTGGCTGTAAGTGACAAGAGCTCTCACTTTGACTCTGTCTAAACAGGGAGCTCCTGGAGGCCACAGACTTCTTAATTACACACAGCGGTGGATCCTCACACAGAATCCTCATGATACAGACTTTGGGAATACATTTGCCATTAAGTGGAAAGACAAATGTTTCATTCTCTGATTATCAGCAATGAAACTTTTACTAACCCGCTTCTCAGCTGGTCGAGTTTACAGAGAACTCTGTAAACTCTTATACAGCGTGCGTTTTAGAGTGTTAAACAACAGTACAACACTTGTTTTATAAATTAACTTTCTATTAAGCTTTGATTATAAAATCACAGCATAATGTAATCACACTCATTCTGTACTGAAGAGCTCTTTAATACCAACATTTTGTGCCCAAATTGCTGTAATTTTCTGATTAATATGACAATCATTGTTTCTGAATGTGTGAATAAAACCCTCTGATCAGTTCTCGTTCAGTTGATGTCTTCTGTTTTATAACTGTCAGCTCTGAGAGTGACGGCTCTCCCATCTGCTGCAGCAGTGAACACACACAGGGTTTGGAAACAGAAAAGCTCAAAGTTAATACCATGGTGAGGATACTGTACTTAATCCCTGTCATGTGAAGTAGAAAATAAGACCTTACATTTCCCTGCAGATCTGCTGTGACTTTATTATTTTTCAGTGCATTAATCAACTACTATCTCCTCTTTTGCTTTTATTAAAATCCATTTCTGGTTCATATCCTCTGATTGGATCTTAAATATCCCCCCTCCCATGGGGGTCGGGCTTGATAGTGCATAGAAAATGAAGTTGGAGAATTTGGAGCTCTGCTTAACATGCAGCTCCCAAAAGAAGAACTCTCCATCTCAATAACGTTCAATCAGAAAAGCCAGTCCCTCCAGTTCACCTCCCTCACTGGTGTTCCTGACGACACTCATTCTAATAAAACACTAAGCTGTCAAATGCTTTGGTACTTCTGTTTTTGAAGGAAGTTTTTCACGGCTCAATAAAGGTGCTTTTTCACATTTTGAGATGGATTTTTGGTATCATATTCATAACCTTTAACCACCAAATCCATCCAGTTTCTAATAAAAAGCTATTTTAGAGGCTCCTGTGCCCAAACTATGAAGAAAACTACGAGTTCTGGACATTGAAATAACCATAACTGGTATTCTCTTTATTCCTTTTATCATTTTAGCATCTTTTGAAACAGTCAAAAAAGATCGTTTTAATTGACG